ATATAGGTTAAAACTAATTGCAACGTAAGTTGCAACATTAAAAGTTGCAACATATTAATTATAATTCCCATCTTTACCTGTATTATAAAAATTTAATAAAATGTTACTAATCGGAATATGCTATTTGTATAATAAGTAATAATAAGAATATCCCTATTGATGACTTAGGATAACCCGATTGAAAACTGGATGTTAATAAATTGATATTAATAAGAATAATCCTATTGATATTTTTATAACACCCTAATTAAAACCTTATTGTATCCTATCTGCACTATTAATCGTCATCAATCAGGATTACCTGATTCTAAAAAAACAAAAAAATAGGTGACCAATCAAGTCAAATCTAGCAACTCAGATTTGACCTGATTGGTTTCCTATTTGTCATCATTCGACTAGTGATTTGAAATTAATTATTTTAACAATAAATTAATTACAGTTTATGCTAAATTTTTATATTACTTATTTTACTTCAGTGATAATTCTTGTATTTTCGTCACTTATTAATGTCCTAATCAAATTTGGATCTCTTTTTCATTAAGTAATCTTCACATTAGTAACGATGTAAGTTGTGTAAATCTTTATATATAATATCTTTTATAATTGGAAAGGTATCTGAATCCAAAGTATTCATAATAGTCAGGATAATCACTTTATTGACACAGTCACGTTGTTGTTCGTAAGTTTTATCTAGTTCTAATCTGTTCTCTTTCAGAATCCTATTTATTATGCAATCTATTTGTCTCTAATAACATATTTATTAGTATGTAAATAAAAATGAAAAACAAACAAAATATTACCTACCCTTAAAACTTGTTGCAAGCCTTTCGGAATATCTTTAAAACGTAAGTATTTTAACATTTCCATTTCTTGTTCAGAATCAGAATCATCCGAACTACTTTCATCAGAATTACTTTTAACCAATATAGGCAAAACAGATCATCAATGCTTTCTTTTTTATTATGATTTGGTATAATGCCTGTGATGGATCTATCGTCGTTAACATCTTCTGTAAGAAAATCTGGAGTAATAAGGCGAAAGTGATCCTTTTTACTTTCATTACTTTGAACATCATTTTTATTGGATGCAGTCCTAGATAGAGACCTAGACAGGGCTTTAGATTTTGATGCTTTATTATAATCAGTAATTTTTGATGAACTAGCATCAAATTTTATCGAATTTTCATGATCATGATCAGAGAAATCACCACCAAACTTTTATTACCCTTTTCTGCTGTTAATATACATTCTATTAGATCAATCTTCCTATCCTTTCTCTTCTCAATTCTTTCCAGACATTCTTTTAAGAATTTTATTTGCTCATTTAATGTCTCTATTAGAAAAAATCGAATTATTAATCAAATCTCAATTATAATCAGATAATTAAGAATACATTATTTACCTTTCTCATCATCCTTTTCTAATCTTTTATGATGTTATTTTTCTACCGGCCATTCTTTAAATGAAAAAAATGAATCATCTGATTCTGAGAAATTAGATAAATCGTAAGATAAAGATCGATAACAACAATAAGATCTTTTCCATTTACTGTAACCGTTTTATAAGAAAATATTAATGATTTTGTAAAAATATTCTTATTAACTGTTATACAAAACTAATTATAATTAATTATCATTTATAGTTCTTGATGTATTTATCTGTACAATTATATTTTTTATTTTTTTAGAACAACGCGAAGTACGTGTTCATAAATGACCTCTATTTACTGATTATTCATATGGTCCTTTATACCGTTCGTGATCTAAGTGTTTTTTTTCCTTAGAATTATTCATAGTATATAATTGGGTGTAGGAGAGTTGAATTGAAGTGAAAGTAAAGAAAAAATTGGAAAGGAGGATAAAAAGCATTTTTATGCTATTTCTGTTAGATCAATAGTTTAATCATCAATAAACTTTTAAATATAATAGTATATTTTATTAATAAAATTGAATGATTTCGTTATGGTTAACTATAAATAGTATAAATTTATTTTACAGAATGGATGAAAATAACATATGACGCGTAATTATTTAAACTATATTAAACTATATAAACTATATAAGAGTATACATATGCATTTTTAACTTTATACTAACTTCTTGTAAAAATGCCTAAACAAACAAGAAAGCAATTGTTTAAAAATAAATTACCTACATCTACTTATTCAACAAAGCTCAGGCCTATAGTCTAATACTATTGTATGAAATGCAATAATGCTTAGATTGAGATAAGAACGAGAAAAGTGCATGAAGCTGAAGAGCAACAGCTATAGGAAAGTATTGGTAAATTAACACAAAATAGAAAAAAGAAAATAAAGTAAAATTAGACTTATAATCACCAGTCAAGAAATTCAAGATCTGATGCTGTAGAAAGTCAACCGATAGATGCTAGATCAATTCAACAATCCTACCAGTCTTATGACAATTACATTCTAACGATTGGGAATGATTGTTTTGTATCTGATGAGAAAATAGACAATTCAGATTTCGAATCTGTTGTAAAAAAGAAACGAAGAAGATACAATTGGTTCATCGAATCTTGTAATCATCTCATTGTTACAGAAGAAGAATATAACCAACTGGATAATTTGTCTAGTGATGAAAAAGATATTGAACAATCAGATGATGATAATGATAACAATAATGATGATAGAAGTTATCAATCAGAAACTGACCAATTTATTGACTAAGAAATTCTATTTGACATTATTGAATTTGATGATTTAGATTTTGAAAATCTGAGCAAAAAAATCAAATTCGATGATTCATGAATTTTGCTTTAGGCTTTCAAATTTCAAGAAAGATTTAGACTTCCTGAAATCGCGATCAATTTTTTGATCGGTTTTTTACATATTACCTTGAAAAATGCAGATTCACAAAGATTTATTGAATGTTCTTCAACTGCATACATGACACAAAATTTTTTAGACATTAAAAGGAAATCCAAAATGTATGCTGTATGTCCTGAATGCAACAAGTTATACAATGTTGCAAATATTATTTCAAGTGATCAGAATAATAGCAGATTTTCTGGATTCAAATGTGACCATGTGGAATTTCCAAAACATCCTATGCAAAATCAATGTGAACCTTGCAGTGTGAAATTGTTAACAAGAGTACTGGTAACGAATGGATATATTTAGAAGCCAAAAATGATATATCCATTACCATGTTTAAAGACCAATTGGCGACTATGTACTAATGATCGGGATTTAAAGAAATGTTAAAAAAATAGATCAAGCAGGATGTAATTGGAGTAATGTCAGATATCTATGATAGTGAAATATGGAAAAAAATTTCATCTAATTTAGATACACTAGGTTCTAAATTTTTTACAGTTGAAACTGCAGATTCAAATCTTAGAATTATAATTAATTTGGATTGGTTCCAACCATTTGAATCGTCAATCTATAGTTGTTTAGCAATTTATGGTATAATTTGCAACCTTTTCCGTGATATAAGATTCAAAAAAGAAAACATGCTTACTTTAGCATTATTATTGAGACCTCAAAAAGTTAAATTACACTGAATTAACAATTATCTGCGACTGGTTATTAATGAATTACTAGAATTATGAAATGGAATTGATTTATCAGTAACAAAAATGAATCCAACAGGAAAGAGAATCTGATTGGCTGTAATTTGCTGCAGTAATGATATTCCTGCTATAAGGAAGTTATATAGGCATATATCGGCATTAGTTGGTTGCCATAGATGTTATAAGCAAGCTAGTAGTAAAAATGGAGAAAGAGCAAATTTCAGAGGATTTGAAGACATATCCAATTGGTTTAGAATGTGAGACTTTGAAGAGCATCGGCATAGTGCAATTCTCTGAAAACATAAATTAACTAAAGAGGATAGGAAAGAGTATGTTAGAACTACTCACATAAGGTGATCTGAAATGCTTTGATTATTCTATTATAATCCAATCAGGCATCTGATTGTAGATCTGATGCACTGTCTGTTTCTAGAAATTGCCCACTGGATTGTTAAAAAGTTATGGATTGATCATGGAAAACTAACTAAATTTCACCTAGAAACAATGGAATCCCATGCAAAAAATATTAAAATTCCAGCCGATTTAGAAAGAGTTCCTTTTAAGATATCAACTGGAGAAGGATTTTCCAGATTCACAGCAGATAAATGGATATCATTTATATTAATTTATATGACTTCATTAATGTAGGATTTATTGGATGGTTCTGATCAAAAAATTTTAGCCAACTTTATTAGAGCTTATTACTTGTTGGTATTACAAATTGTTGATGAAAATAGATTAAATGAAGCACTTAGCCAGTTATTAAAGGTTGCTTAATTAATCGAAGATAATTATGGGCCAGTAATGATTACACCAAATATTTACCTATTGCTACATATTTCAGAATGCTATTGGAATTATGATCCTTTATATGCATTTTGGTGTTATTCGTTCGAAAGAATGAATAGAGTATTAGGTAATTTATTATAATCACATGATTTAATCTTTCGTATTGCATTAATTCTTATTATGAAATGAATACTAATCAGCTTTATTAATAGAATTATTTCCGAATTATCATCACCAAATTGAGCCAGAATTATTGTGAATATTATGCAAAACTGGCAGTTAGATGATCTAATATTCAATCAATCAAATAATTCAAAGCTGATCAAAGGATTACAATTGATAAAATTCCAGCCAATAACAGAAAGCCTGTCAGCTTTAAATTTGATGAATTGCACTGATTCAGGTTAATTTACAGACTTGAAGTTGAAGATACCATAACCGGTAGTGAAATATTTCCTGGAAAGATGATGATACCAAAGAAACTTGATGTAAATCTATCAAATGACATATATGATTTTTTGGTAGATTATTACAATAATGCATATGAATTGGAATTTATTACTATAGCTGGATCAATAGAAAGAAGGTCCAGATATCCAATTATTGTTCAGCCAATAATTAATCAGTTTGGATGAATCTGTATTAGTGCTAAAATTTTCAGATCAGCAAATTACCCTTATTATCATAAGAATTCGTTTATTCTTGCAAAATTTATTCAAAATAATAATATGACTGATGTATTTTCTAATTAAGTACAATATTACTTTGAGCATGAAGTTAACCTTCCGAATGGAAAATAGACCCATAACTTGGTCTTTGTTAAATGGTATATACCGGCAATTAACCATCAAAAAAGGTTTTATTGCACAGTTGATAATAATATCAATACTTGCAATATAGAGCTTTGGAAAACAAATTTTGTGATATCAATAGGAATAGTATTATACTGATGTATAATATTTATAGTAGATTTATTCCTAGTAAATTTGTAATAGGTTGGAAGCCTGTTATATATATAGCTGTAATCCCAATTGGCAGGCACTTCTATGTATGATCGGCATTTAAAAAATACATAGTTTATACATTGTTATTAAATTTATTTGAGCTGTTAATATAAAAAATGCAAAATAAAATCAATCGCTACTGCAGTAAATTATAATAGAATTATAAGCTAATTGTTTCTTAGTTGTTTTATTGTTAATCTGTTATTTCGAAAAGTATAAATCAGGTACAAATCAGGTAGTAATTAAAAGAATAAATAAAAACCAATAATTATTAACTGATTTATGCCTACGTTTTTATTTAAAATTAATCAGAAAATTGTCTGATTTATCCTTTTTTTATCACTGTAATAAATCAGATACGTATTTGAACCTATTGTATAAATAGAAATAAATAGATAAGTTAAATCAGGATATTAACCTATTAATATCTAATTTACTTCATATAGCTGATTGATATCAATTTAATAATACTCAACCAATCTGATAGATAAAAAGATATCAATCGGCATGATTACTGATCAGAATTCATTTTACCTGCAGTAATCAATTGGGCTAATATCTGATTGATACTCAATTGAATTGTTAACTGGTTGATTACTATTAAACAAATCAGATTACTGATCAAAAAAAAGGTTATCAATCGGAAAGATACCCGATTGAACTTTGTTCTACCTGTACAAAGCAGGTTTGATACAAAGCAATTTGTTTGTTACGAGACAATTTAGCAAAGAGTTTTTTTTTATCTTATAAAATTAACTTCCTAAATTTCTATCGATACATGATGAAAAACTCAGCTTATTTATAATAAAATTTCTA